TCATTGGGAAGAGCTTTTCCCCAGGTTGTCAGGTGGACGCAGGGCTTGGACTGCAGCATGACCTACTGCCCGGGTCCTTCTGCACTGCCTGCTGCGGCTTGCTGGGATCTGGCTGCACCTCAGGTAATGCATCAGCAGAGAGCGTGGGGGTCTGGTTCTGTCCTCGTCTCTCGGTCACCAGTCTTAATGTGCGACCCGGCTCCAGGGCTGGCAGTGGCTTCTTCGAGCTTGCAAGGGGCAGCAGCCCTTCAGGTTAAAGGGCTTTTGGGCAGGATCCGGGAGGGGAGACCCTTTGCCTCTCCAGTGCTGCCTTCGGTTGGTTTGCTGAGATCAGTAAAGGTCGCTATGGATGCTCTTTTGCTACGAATGATGGCCAACATCCTGAGAACTGTGGCTAGATTTTCCCCAGGGGGGCTGCAGGCTCCCAGGTAGTGAGATGGTCAGTGATGCCTCATCTCACTGCTTGATAATTCAGGCTTGAGGCAGGTTCTGCAGGCATGCCCCGAGCTGCTGTCTTGCACAATTTTCCCATTGTGTGCACCTGTAATACCAGTTACTGGCAGTGCAGCTGGACAGAAGCCTCTCAACTCCTTCAGTGGAGGCCAAGTGCTGTTGTTTGTCTCTATCCTCAAAGGCAGAGCTGTGTTGTTTCTCTTCAGTGGTTTAGCCAGAATGTTAAATATGTTAGTCTCCTGTATTTAGAAAGGTGTACCTGTCATTATATTTGCAAATAGAATATGCTCAGTAATGAGTTTACAGGTGGCAACACAGTCTCCCCGCCTTAAGTCTCTGTGGAGACCTAACATTTCTGGTTACACCCCGAGACAGCCCTACATACCCACTTCCCTCTGGTAAAGCTTATGTAAACAACTGGAGTTCCTATTTTGCCCTTGCCGGTCAGTAAATATGGGAGCTGATTTCAGGGAATCTGATCTCAGAACTCTCCTTGATGCATGTACTTCACAAATGCCAGTTTTCAAAGCACTCACAATAGTCCCAGGGGAGCACTGCTTACAACAATGCTGCTTATTGACGATTTGGAGTCTGGCTGCTGTATTGATGGTTAGAATTTTACAAGGTGAGTATGCATTCTTACAAGTAAGAATGTTACTTTTCCTTTTTCTGCGGCTGTAGTACAAACACGTGCTCCTGTTACTGCATTAACATTAGTGTTGTCAGCCTTAACCTCTTCTTCTCTTGAGGGTCTGGTGCTGATGAAGCAGTGCTTTTGTCAGGGAACTCTAGCTTTAAATTTGTCTCATCCAGACTCTGGAAAGGAGTTGTTAACACTTGGTTGAGACAAGAAAAAAGGGTTTGCTGGGTTACAAACCAACAACCTTATCCAGGCTCACAAGTGATGAACTTTCAACAAGTCACTTAAACTTTCTATAAACTGGTTCCTCTGTTTTGAAATGACAGAGTTGTGCTCGCCACCTTTTTCTGTGTTTTGAGATGGAATTAAAGGTGCTTGTGCAAATGGTACCATGTCTTAGCAATTGGGTTGTTCCAATTATTTGCTCTCTTGCAGATTTCCAGGCAAATTTCAGGGAAGAGTCTATTTAACAAAGCTCACTTCATACCTAGCTGAGAAACACAGCTTTTATGCCCAGCTTGTGCTTTGTAACATGTTTTCTTTTAAAAATGGCTTTTTAGAAAGACTAAATTCTGCTTCCTGATGTATGTGGGTGCAGCAGAGATAGATGTCATGAAGGATTGCTGTCTCAACAAAGTCAAAGAGTGGGGAGAGAGCACAGAGGAGAAAAAGATAAGTCTCCCCAAGGACGTGTGTTGCTGTAGTCTCTTGTGCCTGGAAGTTTTGCAACACCTCGATCCTGCTGCTGCCTCAGTGTTATCAGTATTTTGTGAATAAATACAGGGCTCTGCTTGCGTAGCTCTGCATGCAGACTTGGTGGCTGTACAGTAAAGGGTCTGATTCCCTCCTACCTGTGCAGCTCATCACTACAGGGAGACAAATTAGTACTTGTGGGCATGATCTGAAACCCTGGAGAAAGATCAAAATAATCCCACTGAGCACAGTGGGTCTAAAAATGTACTTGGCCTGAATAGGAAAGGAGTTGGCAAGCACTGTTTCCACTTAGCAAGACATTTGATAACCAGTCACTGATCTAGAAGCTGGGGTGGAAATATTAGTTGCTGTGACTGCAGCTGCTGACACCTGCCTAGTGTTTGGAAATGAACTCTCAGCTCTCCTGAATATTGATCTCATCAACACTCTCAATGCCCTTAATTGTGAAAATGGACGTAGATCTGCAAAAGATGTTTTCAACTCTGCACAGAGTTTACTATTTACTGTTCTCAGAATGACTGCCTATTTTCCACTCATGCCAGAGCTGAATACACGGCTGTGTATTGTCCTCACAACAACAATCAACTTTGCTTCTAGGCATTTACCTCTGAAAGACAAGAAGGGCAACAGATTAGAACAGATGAGAGGAGAGAAAATGACAAATAAATTAGTCAGTTGTTCAAGACAGCAGTTCTTGTGCTGTATTGCAAAAAAAGTTGATTTGGTGTTTGTTTCTTTGTTAATTTATCTAGTAGTGAACTTTTACTGTGGTAGTACATAATGGCAATGGAATGGCATCCTGTCTAGAAGATCCTGAGTTGATAAACTTCGTGCTTGGGAAGAGGTGACTGCAGGGGAAGTGATAGAAACACATGAATATAAAGATTTGTTGCTACACAAAGAGTCATGGTACATCCTGTGAAATTTTTAGACACTAAATGTATAAAAAATAAATGGGAATACTTTCTCACACGGTGTAGATGACTGTTTTCTGTCCACTGCTGAGTGGGTGTCCCAGTGGTTAGGCAGTTCATAGAGGGTGGGGCCACAGGTGGGTGAGTTGTTTGCATGCAGTTTCTGTCCCGTAGTTCTTAAACCTGTGATTCTTGGAGATGGGACTACCAGAGTGATTTTACACATGCCCTGTTCCTTATCCTTGTGCCCTTCTGGAAGCTGCTTAGATCAGAGTGTACAGCTCAGAGGCTGATCCATAATCTGGCATTCCGTTACTCCCTGTCATTCAGCTGAGCTTTAGAATAGCATTTTGTGGGATTTATGTGGAAAAATGTTTTTACAGTTCTTTGGAAGCATGTAATCTCCGACTTGCCAATTTCGGCTGTTCCTTCTCTGAGTGCTCATGACCATTACAGATCATCACAGTTTAATACTGGAGCCTGCTCAGGCCACCCAGGAATTGCCATTCACACTTTACTGTCCATGGGTAATAAGCTCATTCCTGGAAAGCAAAAGAAATGCTATGATAGATCATCTGCTGATTATTTGCTTCATAATCAGCAATGTAATAATACTTGCTTTTTAAAATATAAATATGTTTTTGCTCACAAATAAGGAAACTGCAGGCATGTCAGAGCCAGGAGTTACTAGGAAGTGGAATGCCTAGAGGGCTTTAGAGAAAGCCATGGTATTTAGGGTGGGCAAATGCAGGAAGAAGGCAGGAGGGATAATGGGCAGCTGTGTCTGTCACGAGGCAGGAAAATGACAGATTTTGCTGCTTTTCCATGTCTTTAGTTACTTCAAAATCCTATGTTTTATAAACGATCCCATGGATCTTCTGAAGCCATCAGTACCTCCAAGAGCCACAAAAGGACAATGTGATGAAAGTACTGACAAAACTGGTGAGTCAGGGAGGGCAGACAGAGCTGCCCGTCCCTCAGGTATTTGCAAGATTTATGCTTTGGCATCGACATCAGGCATTTCTGTGAGCCATCTGTGGTCTTGCTAGTGATGCCTAAATTAAAACAATATTGCTTGTGTGAAAAGAATTCTGTCTGCATGACATGTGCCCAGTTACTAATTTCCATCCCTGTCCATTCATTTCCCTGCTGTCCTATTCCTGCAGGCTGTCATTGCATTTTCTTTGCTGCCTTGGCTCTGGGCTTTCTTGAGTAGCCACCCCTGTGCCTTTGCATTTCTGCAGATGTTGCAATGTGGAGAGGGAGTTCCAAGATCCAGTCCTGCAAGCATGGCAGTTCATTTGGGAGTCAGAATACAGTGTGCAGAGGCATTGGGGTAGGATGGGAAGGTACAATTTACATTTGTGTGTTTGAAGGCAAGCTTGGAGTGCCTGTTTGGCCTGGAATGTCCTGATGTGTGTTTCTCAGTATTACAGACATAACCCCAGGTACTCCATGCACCAGTGTTTTTTTCTTCTCTAGCTTGCTGAGTGTATGTAGGATGTCCATCTGCTCTCCTCTGTTAGGGAGGGCATTAAAATCCCTCTTCACTAACCAGCAAATGCCTGTAGTTGCCTTGCTGCTTGCCTTTGGAGCTTGGGGATAGTTTTGCACAGACACTTGTAGTTCTCAGTGACTTGTTAACCAGCACAGGAGCTCTGTGGTCGGTATCCTGTGCTCAGTCCCCTGGGGTAAGTGATGGGCACAAACTACAGAGGAATGAGAAACAGGCTCACTGTTGTTTGAGTAAAATGCAGAGATGTGCCATGTTGTGCAAGGCTGTGTGCTGGAAGGAGAGCAGTGATGTGTTGGGTGAGTGCCTGTGTGCTCTGAGCTCTAGAGAACCTGTGGGAAGTGCTGCATGCAGCTCTCTACAGCCTCTGGGCTCAGGAGATGGGCTGGGAAAGAGTCAGTACCTCAGGCATTTCCTTTCTTTCAAGTCTCATGATGGGACTTGGATAAACAGCAGAATGAATTTCTGATCCTTTCTCATTCTACAGGCTAAATATTAGGCCAACATATAAAACATTTTGGAAGATTCTCTGCTCTGGCCCTTCCTTCTGTAAACAGTGGTTGCTTCTTTTATGTTTATGCTTAAGTTAAAGCCATATTGGTTTTTTACCTTAATGAAAAAAATGTCATTTTAAAAGGGAAAATTGAGAATTTCTCAATTGAAAATGCTTAAATAAAATAGTTTAGTGTTTCCAGAAGATTATTTTGTGCTCTTTCAGAGTTACAAGCATGATCTGAACTCACATGTATCTTTGGTCCTTTTGGAGCTCAAGTTTTCTGTGAGCATCTTTGTTGAGAGCTGGGGAAACCGGTATGAGGCTGCTGCCCATCTGCACTGTTCCTGCTCCAGCAGCCATGGGAATCCCCTGGCTGGAGAAGTGTCTGTCAGC